AAAAAAAAAAAAAGAAAAAAAAAATAAATAAACTCGGGGCTGCAGTCTTGAATTGCAGTCCTCCTGATCCCAGCTTTTTTGTGTCTGTCTTTTCTCAGTCCTCACCCCCTCAATTGAGTCCCTGTTGCTCTGCCGGCGGGCTCCGGCAAAAAGTCAGGGTCAGAAAGCATTAAGGACAGAATCTTCTCAGGCAGCGGCCACATCTCTCTCTGGTCATCAGCCATTCAGCCATGTAGTCCCTTGGTTTCTGCCTCTTTGGGCTAGGAAATTGCCTGCTCCTCTGCCTTATTGCCTCATGGTCTTGGTGCTGCTCCTCTGCTGTTTTAAAGTCTCCTTCCTGGGCACCTGGTCTCAGCTTGGCATGGTTTCTGCTGTCTTTACCACCTCAGGCAGAGATCTCCAAAGAGCTTTGCTATTGCTGTGTCTTTCTTAGTGGCATGGGGACTCATTTTGCTTCTGAGATACAAGGAGGAAGAGATCGGAAGGGAGTGTCTCAGCCTGTGGAGGGTGGCAAAACAGACCAATCTCCAAGGGAAGTTCATCTACACCTTGTTTGCACCCAACCATTTGGTAGGTGTTATTGAGAAATGGAAAGAAGTGTTCTATGTATTAAGTGTCCCTTCACCACAATAAGATAATTAAAAAATATATATGGTACTTAATAGGTATTTTAAATGTAAAGCTTTCTATTTAACTTAGTTTTCTTGCTTTATTTAAACTAGTTTATCATGTTATCTCATTATCCTTTCCTAGTTCCAATGCTATGTTCTTTCCCATTTATAGCTCTTAACATAACCAACCAACAAATCAACCAAAGCCCAAGTCAACGGCTGTTTAAAGGATTCTGAATCACAGGGACCCTGTAGGACCGGCCAGAACTGCTCCATAGGACTTCTCTCAGGCTCTTCATGAGAGCAGATTACTATGTGGTGGGTTTGAACCACTGACCTCTCAGTAAGCAGATGCAGTCTTAACCACTGTGCATCCAGAACTCCTATCATTGAAAAAACCAAACTCACTGCTACAGGTTTGATCCTGACTCATAGCGACCTTCCAGGACATAGAACTACCCCATGTGTGTCCCAAACTGTTACCTGTTTAGGGGAGTGGAAAGGCCCATTTTTCTCCCAGGGAGCTGCTGGTGGTTTCCAGCTGCTGACCTTACAGTTAGCAGCCCAACATGTAACCACTATGCCACCAGGGCTCCTCCGTTTTCTCATGTTTTCAAATTTTCTATCTCCCGTCTCTCTCTCCAGTGTCCCTCTGGTGATGTCTTTAGTCCCATACTTCTAGGGTTTCTCTGGTGCTGCCCAAGGCCTCTTTACGTGTTGGAAAGCAAGATGTTATTTTGAGGACTAGGGTATGCTTAATGCAAACCACGGTATGTTTCAGTAGATTATGCATGTGAAAGCGGAGCATAGACTAAGGAAGACCAAAGAGTCGGTGCATTTGAATTATGGTTTAGAAATTATTAGGTACAAATACAAGGAAAGCAAACGCAGATAAGTAACTGCTGGATTCAGTCAGAAAGTAGAAAAAGAAGCTTTTCAATGTAGGTTTCAAGTAAACTCCCAGTTCATTTGGGTCATCAAAATTTTTAGAAGGCAAGGGGCATAAATTTCGCTGACATTGTCATCCAGCGGCTCCCTCTTTCTCGCTGAGAGACAGCTCGCAGCTTGACCCTTCTTCTTCTGGGCTGCCTCGTCCCCACACAACACGCAGCCCAAGGTATCAGCCCTCCTGGCAGAAGAGACAGCAGTACCCGCCAACTGAAACACCACCTGACGGTAAGGTGCAAGCCCCGCAAAGGATTGTGGGACAAAGCACCCCGCCAATCTAAGAGGTCCAGCAGCAGCCATCGACGCGAACAAAGGCTTTTGTTTGATTGACGCCAAACCTGTCCAATGGGAGCACTCATCTGGTGTGGCCCCCGCCCCGATAGGCAGGACATGAGGAAGACTCAGCCAATCCAGCTCCGCAGTGTTACCTTGTGGGAGGTGATTGAGACCCCGGAGGCGGTTGGTGGCTGTTGACCGGCTCTTGCGAGGGGCGCTGACTCAGGCTGGGGGTTAGACTCGTTCTTGAGAGGAACGTGTCCGTCCGAGGAGAAAATGAGTTTAGCTCTGAGGTCGGTAACGAGCAGGAGACGCTCTCCACAGCCCGGAGTGGGGCCCAGCGGCGGGCGTGGGGGCGAGG